CTTGCCCAGCTGCCGGTGAAGGCAATCCCAAAGGGAAGCGCTGGGAGAAGGGTGTGTGAGAATGACTCGGTACCCCGTGGCCAGGAGCCCTCCCCTACACACGGAACGGGCCAAACCTGCCTGGAAAAGCTGGAGGTCTGCCCCCGGGGTGAAGGCAAAGACGCCTTGATGACAGCGAAGGGAACAAGCGTCCACTCCCTCCCCGCTGACCGCCCTACAGGGAACTGGGAGGCGGCAGGGAAGCGGGAGATGGAACACCAGCAGCAGCTCAGCACGCAGAGCCAGGGCCGGCATTCGGAGCGCGACGCGTCCAGGCGCTGCCTAAAAGTCACCCAAAAACACGCCTTAACTGGCAGCCTGCAAGCCCGGGGGCGAGTGCCCAGCAGCTGGGCCAAGATATCAAGATGGGAAAAAAACCCCACTCCCATCTCCCCCCCAGCCCTACTTTTGCTTTCAAATATTCCCTTTCAAATTCCTTACCGCAAAGGCGAGGAAGCGCTGGCGGAAAAAGCTGCCGTCAGGCAAAACTAGAAGCACTTCTGCAAGGAGAAGCCCCTCCAGGAATTCTTTCTCTAGGATTCTCCCCCCCTTCGGCATCCCACGCCATTCCCCAGCACCAGATAAGGGGCCCCACCTGAAAAGCTGGCAGAACATCCACAAGGCACAACATCCAGGTATTCCACAGCCCGGGGGGAAGCTGGGAAAACGGCAATTTGAACATCATTAAGAGCATTCCGATAACTAAAACTGCAAGGAACCTAAATCTGCTAATGATTGTCCGACCTCTCTGGGCAGCTCCTTTGGAGCTCCAAGAGTTGATCCCACAGCAGCTGCCTGGGCTCCCACAGGCTCACCCGTCTCTTCCCCGCGCTCCAGGCTGGCTCCCCACACGGCCAGTCCCGGGATCCTCTTCTCCTCTTGGGGACGCCAAGACCAGCACAAATGTGCCGGTGCCAGTAACCGCCCCTCCGGCACAGCGGGGTGTTTCCCCCTTTTGGGTGAGCAGTAGTTTCTCCAGAGCTCGTAAGCCCAAGGAAGGAGTCCCCAGGAGGAGCGGGAGGGCCGTCTCCTGCAGGAAGAGACAACCAAACCCAACCCAGCCAGACCGCGCGTGCGGTTCTCCCGGGAAAGGAAAAACGAACGTGAAACCAGCAGCAATCCTGCGTCCCAAAGCGTTTCTGCGAGCGGCGGGGGCAGCAGAAGAATCCCCTCTCCATAACCCAACCCCCTGGAAGCGCTTGCCGGATCTCCAAGGGACATGGAAGTGCCCCTTCCCAGCCCACGTGCCTACTGCCCACCCAGGGCCAGCGCCGGCTGCTAGAGGATGCGGAGCACAGGCACCCTTGGCGAGACAGACCCTGCTTGTCCGCGCTCAGACAATCCACACGGCAGCGCCCACCCCTCCTTACTAACACACGTCTTTCCCAGGGAAATGCCACCTCTGTCACGAAGCAAGCGCACCAGCTGCTCCGACAGCACGCTTCACCCGTTAGTTCCGGTCATCTGCCCTTCCCAAAGATACTCTGGGCTCGGGAGCTCAGTCCCTGCAGGCATCCGTGTCCCGCCGACCTTCAGCCAGCCCTACCTGCAGGTCATTCATCACCTCCAAAATCTCCATCCGTTACCGAGTGACGCAACAGGGACAGCCAGAAGATGCGCAAATCCTCGCGCTGGCAGGTTTTTTCAACCCAAAGACAGCAGCTTATTTTTTAGGCCACACAGAGGCTTGTCAGAATTTAAAAAAACAACCAGGCAGAGAGCCACAGATGTATAGTCAGTCTTTAATTTTTATGATTACTGCAATAAAGTGCACCTAACTTCACATGAAATGCAAGAACGTGGCTCTTCATACAGCCGACATTAATACCAAAAGACAAACCTCAGTGCAAAATGCTCGTCTGAAGACAACCAAAGCAGTTCAAACATTTACTGTGCCAACAGCCTTTTCCAACGCAGGTGCCTTCTGCCTGGGGGCCGGCAAACGCGTCGACAAAACCCAAGGGCAGCAGGGTTGCCGTTTCATTGCCCGGAGCCCTCAAGCAGCGCTCAGCTCAGCCGTCCCTCGCGCAGACCCCGCAGCGACGCTTCGGGATCGTCTCTGCAAGGATACCGATGGGCTCCCAATTCACCCATGTCTAGGCTAAAGCAACTGGGAATTACTACCAGGCTACAAAAAGAGGAAAAGTCCTGGCAAGGCGGGGGGGAGATGCCAGGACGTACACACCGGCATTAGGCACGAACACACACGACTGGCTGAGCTAAGAGTTACTTCAAGACCATCTCTGTTTGTAGCAGCAAGCGATCAGCTGTGAACCCAAGAGCTACGACGTGTCACAGACCTAAAACAGGGCCTGCAGCCCTTTTTTTGCGAAACAAAGCTGAGCCAGGCTCAGTTTGCGTACGGACATTTGATTAGAAAAGCATGGCTGGATTTATTGTGTTATTGTTCTGTTAAATAAAAAGTATCAAAGTGGTTATTTCACCTGGAAAAAGGAGCCAGCAGTTTCAAGGTGTATTGAACTGCAGTACAAAAGCCGTTCACCTCAACCCCTTTCCTCCAAAACATACAGGACAGCAACTTCAAAACTTTACACGGCAAGAAAATATATACACATTACATAAACAAGTTTTTTTTAAACTTTATACAACGTTAGTGAGAAAAAAATATAAACAATAATACAAACAACATATCCAACAGAGCAAGCGACTGCAGCCGGGGAAGGCTGACACGCTACCCAACACAGCAAGGACGGCCTCGCCGTACCTACTCGCACCGGGCGACGCTTTTAGCCTCAAGCGGTTTGACTGCCCAACAAAAATACCCTTTGAGGTAGATTCTTCCAATTCTTAAATAACACGTTGAGATTTAAAAAAGGGAATTTCCCCCCCCCCCGCCCCCCAACAATGCCACAAGCGTAACTTCAGACTGAACAGAGATGAGCGAGTTATCCTGGGCAGGGCATGGATGCTGCCGCCTCAGGCCAACTCTAACGCTGGGAATGAAAGATGAAACATTTGGTAGGAGTCTGCAAATAAAATCCCTTCCCTGTAAGACAGGTGTCCATTCCGTAGCAGTTCCTTTATATATTATAAACATACCTAAATTCGAAGGGTTTGGGTTGGTTTTACAGTCTCACCTTGGAAGGTTGCAGGGAATTGATCGTACAAGCCGGGGTAATCTACAAAAAGGAAGCAGTATCATAAAACGCCCGTGTGGGGATCATTAAAAATCTCACGCGTTAGGGGAGCCCCAGGTGGTGCTTCATACCCATCGCAGGAACTTGCTCTTCATCCGCACGCGCATCCCTCAGACAACCCGCGGCGAAAGGCCGGAGGGGCGGCGTCAGCACAGCGC